ATTTTTGTTCTATTTGTCCGATCTGGAAGCGGAGAGAAACAAAATCGTAAGTGTTGAGATGAATAGAAGGGAACGATGATGGCCAATAGATCGTCGCGGTAAAGGTTAGTATGGAAATCCGTGAAGAAGATGAAGATGAAATCGAAGGTGAGGCAAAGCAGAGCCAGAGCAGAGATAAATCAGAGATAGAGCAATGTGAGGCAGGTTGAGAGTTAGACTGAGGTCGAAGACGGTGATAACCGGACTAGAGATGGAGAGAAATGCCATCGCGATTGAGTATGAGGAGAAGAAGATGATTTTTCTGAGAGTTAAATTGTCACTTTAGATAAAACCTTATTCCTCTTTTAATTGCATTCTTTGTGTATTTTTTAATGAATATCAATAATAAAACAAAAATCTGAAGTAATTGATATTGGGCATTGGACCGGGCCTCACTTCTTTATTCTAGGCCCGATATGTTGTTGTTTTTTAAAGCCTGAAGCAATTGAACAAAAGAGACTCTTCTGGACCACACCTGTTGGGCCTACCGCCCAACATGCTGAACATACATCCTATTCAATTCTCACATCCCCTCTGTTTAGTATTAAATTGCTTTCCTTATTATGTTTCTCATTTTTATAATTTTTGTTGATAAAATGATACAAAAAATAGTAGAATATTTTAGAATTGATCTTATGATTTCTCTTTTAGAATTTAATTGAGTATTGTCCTCATTTTCCTTTATACTTTCACGTTTAATTCTTGTTGCTATTCTAGTCTAAATTTTTGTGATAGTATTGATGCAACTTTTGTGATGTGAAATGCTTGGAGATTAATTCGTTTGATCATTTGTGTGAAGCAGATTCTGTAGAGTTTTCTCTTTGCTTGCGTGGCTTCGAAGATGAAACATAACTTCTCCATTAGGTATCATCGTGACTTTATTTCATTCCTCATTTCCGCATTTTCTTTCGATTTCCTTATCATAAGAAGTAGGAATAGAGATGCATGACTGGGGGTTCTTATTTTAGGTGGGCAAATGTGTTTTAAAGACCTTTAGAAGGCATTTTTGTGTGCGCATTTTCTTGTGTTTGTTTGTGTGCAAAAGACCTCGACGAAGGAAAATCTCACTCCCTTCCCATTTCCCTTTTATTTTGTGCTAGCTATCGAGTCAAATAAATGGAACAGAGGGCCTGCAATCGGCCCCCATGCATTCTAGTCCGTGTCGTTCCTAGGTCACGTTATACGTTGACGCTTTGAACCATGCCTATTCTTATCCATTGAATCAAATAAAGTGGAAAAGGGTTCGTAACCTATCCATACACTTTGTCATTTGTTTCGACGATGTTAGCTCGCGTTTCTTTAAACGTTGACGCTCCGAGTTGTTATTCGATGACGGTGCTCGAGAAAATCAAGTGGAAAGAGTTCCTTACTCCCACCTTGAGATCCATTGGACTCTTTGTTTGTTATTAGCTCGCACTCGATTTTGTTTTGGCTTTGGCTCGACTTTGTTTGATTGCACTTATGCTTGTGCTTTTCTTTATACCTTTGTATGTTCCCTTAGGATTCACTTGTTTCGTTTTCGATGCAAGTTAGACATTATGATCACAATCCATGCATGCTAATATAGGTAGAGATTTCCCTTTGTTATCCAAACCTTAGGACCATCATTATATGATAACATTAAGGATATAGCTAGATAGTTTCTCTTAGATGTTTTTCTTCCCCTTTTGTATGATTAAGATTAAAACCTTTTTCTTTGGCAAATGTCTAAAACACTCTAACTTCTCTTAAACCTTTTTTCAAGGTAAAAAACATCAACCAATTCAAACTCTTTCGCCTCCGGACTTTTCTTTGAAACTCTCAAAAGGATATGTTAATTCTACTATATGGAATACGACGTATAAATATCCAAAGGTCGGGTGACACCATGTCTACTTGCTAGAGCATGAATGTAGCATTATCCGCCTTCAGACACTTTTCTTTTGAAAATACATTTTTAGGTAAGAACATGTTAATTCCTTCCTATGCCAAAGCGCGAGTCTCCAAAGGTCAAGCTGTGGTAGAAAGCAAAATTAATATTGTTCATAAAAAACACAAAACAAACCGAAACTTTTGAGTCGAACTACGATGCTCTAATTCCTTAAAAGTGATACGTAGGCATTTGGTCGCGGGACCCAGGCGATCGAAACTTTGTAAATATTCCTTCTTTTCCCCGTGTTTTCTTTTGCATGCATTCCCTCTTTGAATTTTTTCCCCTAGCTCTTAAGCTTTAGCTTTAGATTAGAACACACCCTTTGATTAGAACAACAAGAGTGGATCCCATGGAGTACCACAAACGTGAGAGGTGCTAATACCTTTCCCTTACGTAATCGACTCCCTTATCTGTATCTCTCGGTCGCAAGACCTTGATTTCACCATTATCAGGTTTAGTCGATATTTACCTTTTATTTTCGGTGGGATAAAAAATATTCGATGGCGACTTCATTGATTTTCTCTCGATGATTATTCCGCCGGTTATTTCACAGAGAAGAAAGGATAAGCACTTGAAGATCGAAATCGGCAGAACAACAATAGCCATAGAAATTTCAGAATCTAAAAGCAGTACCCCAATAAATCACAAGTGAGAAAATTACACCAATTCAACAACAAAGAGAATCAGGATAATTATAAGCCAAAAGGAACTCAAAAGAAGAAATTTCATATCATTGACATGCAAAAGGAGATAGCGGTCAGCGAGCCTCAAGACTAGATAACTTGTCGTTCAGATGCCAACTTAGCTATTGAGGGAATATGGGGTCTATGTGCCATTTGTACCAACAGAGAAGGTAGAAGCATAAACATGGGGACAAAAGACCCTAATTAACCATTGACAGCGAAAGCGATGACACTCCGGATATCGATGAAGGCAACGATAAAGGAAGGGCAACTGAAGATAACCTTCAAATCTGATAGTTCTAACCTCATAAACCTCATGCAATAGAACACCGATAACACGCCTAGAAACAATGTAAGATGTATAGTTTTGAAGATGAAGCAATACAAGTCGTGTTTTAAATCTATTAAATTTTTACATGTTAGTAGAAATATGAATGTGGAGACTCGTGCCCTAGCTAAAATCACTGCTACTCTAAAGCAAAGTAATGTACCGGATATCATGGACAATAAACCTAATAACAAAAAATTGTAAATAGACTTTCATTAATGAATTTTCTCTTTCAATAAAAAAGAAAAAGAAGAGTTTTTTTTAAGAAGAGAAAATATTTGAAGTATTAATGCTAATATATTATTATTTTTCAATTAAAAAAATATTAAAATTGATCAATGACTTGCATTTCTTTGAATCGAGTGAGTTTATAAAATTGACTCTTATTTTTTGATTCGAACAATTTTGCGTGATTCAATTTGATTTTTTTTTTACTCCAATTTGAATTCACTTGCGATTTTATAAGATTGACTAGACTAGAGCCACCTCCGATTCTCAATCTAATTGGTTGAATTATACAGTTTAGTCCGATTTTATAAAAAAATTAGTTGAAACATATATTTGACAAATTTTAATTAGTTTAATTTAATAATTTTTAATAAATTTAAAATTAAAATAAAAATAAAAATAATTAAAATATAAAAAATTGAGTTTATTATAAAAATGTCCATAAGATAAAAGTTGAAGATAAATAAAAATTTAGGTGAACTGCACTTTAAAGGCTCATAAGGGTGAGTGAGTAAATTTTATTATCAACTGAATCAATTTTCATTGGCCATAAAAAATGATTTAATTGTAGTTAAAGTAAAAATTACTTACATCTTTTATTAATATCTTATTAATTAAATTATTAAATCTCTTAAGAAATTTTTTGATATCAAATTTAATTTGAGAGTAATTTTGTAATATTGTCTTTTAATGACCTATTTTTATTTCAATAATTTTTATAGTTTTATATATTTATTAATTACCTCCCCACTCACATTAGTTAACTCAGTATTTACTAACTAACAAATTAAAAAAAAAACATTCTAAAATACCCACTCTCCATAGTCACGTTCTTAATTTTATAAATTAAACTATTACTTCTCCTATTAATTAGCTCTATATTAATCTTATATATAAAAATTGTTAAGTTATTTAGTAACTTTTGACCCAAATGTAAGGATAATATTATAATTTTTTATATTTATTTATTTAATTATTTGTTCCAATAACTATTATATTTATTTATTTATTACTATTTATGTCACTAATTTTATATAATTGTTAAATTGGCAATTTAACTCTAAAATTAAATTATAGTTTCTTTGTTGTAATTTTTTAAATATAGTTATGTTTGTTTTTTTAATAGGTATACATTTTGATCTTATTTTTATTATTTTTCATTATTATTGATGTTTTATAATTCGTGATTATGTTTCTCATGTTTTTAGGTGAAACTTTAGATATACAAAATGTATTTGTTTGTGTGAAAGAGAAGTTAGAAGATGAATCAAAAATCATTATTTATGTTTGATAATTATGGTTATATTATTTTTTTGTAGATATAAATTTTAAAATTATTGATAATTATGTATAAATATCAAGATACAAATACCACTTTAAAAGTTGTCTATAAAAATTATTTGTAGTATAATTCTTATATTTATTTACCTATATTTTATTTTACTTATTTTTTAATTGAAGTGTGGCAAACATTATTTGTAATGTATTTACTAAATTTATAAATTAATTTCATAGCCTTGACACTTTAGATGTGTGACATTTTTTATTCTAATATTTAAATTTATTTGTCTATATTTTACTTCATTTACTTTTCAATAAAAAATGTGACAAACATTTTATATAATTTATGTACTAAATTGAAGAAATAAATAATCCTTTTTAGGGAGGTGTAGTTAACAATATTCCAAAGTCTCTGAACCACAAAACCGTAACTTCTTCTTTGTCGAAAGAAAGTCCTAACCCTAACATCAAGCTCACAGAGGAGAAAGCTTAAACGTTTCCAGCATCCAAGCTTTTGCACCGTTCGATAATGGCCGTAAGTAGCTTTTTGCTTCCCTCATCATTAGTTTTTGCACTCTCCACGTTTTAACGGAAATTATATAGTTTATCGCAGAACCGAATTGGTGTGTTGAAATTGAATACTATGTGATTTAATTGGAATTAATGTTCTGATTCATGTTTTGCAGACCATACCTGTTAATCCCAAGCCTTTTTTGAACAATTTGACTGGGAAGCATGTTATTGTGAAACTCAAATGGGGAATGGAGTACAAAGGTAGGTGCTTTTTTCATCTTAGTGTTTATTTATTGGAGAATTAAACCCTCAATGCATATTTTTAATAATCTGTTATGGATTGTGTTTTTGGTTTTTTTTTTTTGCAGGTTATCTTGTTTCTGTTGATTCTTATATGAACTTGCAGGTACAATTCTAGATATACTAATTGGTGTCTGTTATGACAATTGTTTTTGGGACTTCTTTGGCTCTGTTGCCATAACTATCATAGTTTTTATAATATTTGTGAACTTTTGTGTAGTTGGCCAACACTGAAGAGTATATTGAGGGAAATTTTACTGGGAATTTAGGAGAGATTTTAATCAGGTAACGTGCATCTCAGCTATTTTACAATTTGCTAATCGATTATGGCTGTGTTTTTCTGGGACATGTACTCTCAATATTGTTTTTGTTTTGGAATTGGAATTGGAAAAGGAAAGAGTTTTGTTTGCTGAGGCAGAAGATATATTCGGCTAATTGTTTGTTGGTTTGAATAAACAAATGTCCTCTACCTCTCTTGTAACTATTATTAGATGCCTTTGTTTGTGATGCTTAATTTTTAATCCATGTTACTATGTTGGATTTGACATGTTTGATGTGTATGTAGAATTTTAACTAATTTTGCAAGCCATTTTACTGTTATCTGGTATCACTATTTGAAAAAGGACCATTTTAATACTTAAATTAATATGTTTTCAAGCCATTTTACTAAATGATGTTGGTCTTTATTTGGTTTTTGGTTGTTGGTTTCACTATGTTTTTGATAGTATTTTGTTTTTAGTCTAACTAAGTATGTTTGAAAGCCATTTTACTCCCTGTTGCAACAAAATATTTTACTCTGCTGCAAGCCATTTTTTCTTATGATAAGTTTAACTTTTTAATCATTTAGAGTGTAGAATTTCTGTTTACTCAAATGATAAATATAGACTTTCTGATCTGATCTCAATTTGTGTTCAATTAGATAAAATTTCTTGTAACTCACTAGTTTATGCACATATACATTGGAACTGGATGGACCCTAATATTCTTATAAGGAAAGATCTCTTGTATGAAAATTTTGATGGTTTACTTGCTATTCCATTGGAATTTAATAGAGTGAGAACTGAAACGTCTTTTTTGCAGATTTTGCATTGCAGCCCCATGGCGTCCGCCATGAGTATAACGTTCATGGCGGTATGCCGGAGATTCCACTTTTTTTGATAAAATTTCTGTGAATTCTTGTCTGTTTTTTTTAGCGCTTCTATCTAATGCTTTTAGAAATTTATTTTTAGCTACTAGTTTATGTTATGTGAACTTGATCTGGCTCTCGCTCTGGTTCTGCCTCTGTCTGTGAGCAAGAGTGTGATGATGACATGATCAAGTTATGTTGCGGTTTTGTTTGTATATCTGGATTTATAGTCCAAATATGACAGTCAATTCTTATATCGTTGTTTTTATTTGTAGATGTAACAATGTTCTCTATCTTCGTGGAGTACCAGAGGATGAAGAAATTGAAGATGCGGCTGAAGACTAGAATGAAAAAACCATTGTAAGGTGTAACCATGTTCTCTACCTTTTCGGTAGTGTACTAGAGGATGAAGAAATTGGAGATGCTGCTGAAGACTAGAATGAAAAAATCTTACCGTTATAAATTGAACTAATTTTATTTACTGTTTTTGCATCTTCAATTAAATGCATCTGTCTTTATGTAGTTACATGTAGAGATTTGAATCAAAGAACTCTCATCAATCAGTGTGCTTATGATAAAATTGTTCAAATTAAATAGTGTGATTCACTAGAAACCTGATATTTAGATTGCTTAATTTAGCATACTCTTTTGGTTACAAATAGGAGAAAAACAAATGAGGCTAAGATTTGGTGGAGGATAGACGTGAACTAATAAATTTATTAAAACAATATATTTATGGAAATTGATGGTGGAAGTCTCAAGGTTGATGCAGAGGAAGAAATGAGTAGCAAACTGAGTTCTTGAAACACTTATCAATTGCAATCTTCAACGAAATTAAAGAGGCTGAACAAACACCACCTCTTTTTGTAAAAGTTATTTGTGGAAAAAAGAAACATTGCAACTTATTAATAATCTAGCTACAAGATAAAGGACACAATTTAATGCACAAGTGGCTTGTTGAATGAACTTGTATTCACAAATTCTATCACTTAATTCCATTCAATAAAATAAAGTATGAGATCACTTAATTCCATTCAATAAAATAAAGTATGAGACGCAAGGGAAGTAAATCAATCACTATACAGCAAAATGACGAAACACGTACATGGTTCCTGTTTCATATCTGTGAAAAAGTTACTCGTGCAAAAGAATTAAAAAAATGTCATTAAATTATCAAACAAATCAACATTTATATTCCCACATGTAAATACTTACATACTATGAAGTAGAGACGCTAGGAACACAAAATCAACTCTAACGGACACTGACACGGACACACATTTTTTAGTAGGGGTATTCAAATTCAAATCAATCCAAATAAAAAATTGAAAACCGATCCAAAAAACCGAAAACCGTAAAAAATCGAAAGTTATTGAATGTGTTTGGATGTTATTTTATGAAAACCGATCGGTTCGGATTGGATTTCGGATGAATTTTTTAAAACCGATCCAAACCAAACCGAACCGCATAAATATATTTTTATACTTATTTACTTTTTATTAGTATGACATGTTATGTGAATTTATTATTAGATGATAATAATTTTTTTAATAATATTTATTAGTTTGGTATAATCTATTTATTTTTATTATTTCAAGCATAATCAATCACTCTCATTTTGTAATATTAACTTTTAATATACTATATGTTATATATTATATCAAATCTATGATTTATTAGTAGTTTTATAATATTAATAAAAATATAATGTGTAATTTGGATATTCAAAAATCGATCCAAATTAAACGGCATATAATTGGATCGGATCATATTGGATTTTTTTAATATATCATCCAAAACCAAACCAAACCACAAGTGAATTAATCTTTAGATCAGATGAATTTTTGCTTTAAAACCGATCCAAACCGAACCGCGAACACCCCTATTTTTTAGAGGTGTTGATACTACTAAACTTACACAAGTCTAGTGCCTGAAATGTCAAATTCTAAATGAGTGCAACAACGATTTGATGCAGGAGTATGAAGCTCCCTTCGCACAACCACATTAGCCTTGTATGGGTAGTAAAAATATGTACTAGATTACAGTTTGGTATAATCCAGTTGTCAAATAAGTACTGCTATACTGCACCTGACTGAATATTGAGCATCTATAGAGGCATGGCCATTTACATTATGTAGCTTCTTTTCGTCAACTGTTGCATCTAACAGATTACGAATAACAACTCGGTACTCTAAAACAAAAGTGGAATAAGGTGTAGCTACAGTTGTACTTTTCTATTCTTAAAACTGCTGATTTCCTGTAAGCGAAATATCAAATTGAAGTCCACGGCTTTCGCATCAAATTCATTTAAGAACCAAATGTGATCAAAATGAATATACCTTTTCCAAGAAGTTTATCATCTACTATCTTTGCCACCCGCGTTGAATGATGACACATGCATGAGATAAAGCACAACAAATATCAACAACGTTATTATAGCCAAAGCTTAAAAAACCACAAGAAAGTATAAGGAATTGAATGCAAACCTCATTAAAATGCTCACACTGTCTATTCCTGAGTCCAAACACACCATAACGAGTATTCTTATGTGAATCTTCTTCCTCTTCATATTTCCAAAATCACATTCACCCGATCAAGATACAAAGCAACACTAATAATTTCACTCTCTATATCAAAGCAACTAGAATCTATATCAAATTGATCTCTGAAAACCATTTATAGAATTTCACCAACACCAAAACAAGACTCAACATCTTACCATGTCCTCTAATTGAATCTACCACATTTCTTTTATATGATAAAAACTGAAGGTGATCCGGCCTCTAAAGGTAATCCAGCCTCTAAAAGTGGTCTTGTTTCTATAAGTAATCCTGCTTTTGAAGGTGGCTCTATCTTTAAAGCTGAGCTTGTGCAGTTTCAGAGGTCATATAGAATTAGACAGATACCAATAAGACTTGCACACTTCGAGTTGCTGCGTGATAGTTAGATTGACTCTGAAGGTAAAGCCATATAGTGTGTCATGATGGTGGACTCTAAACCCGTCAACGTCAATGAGACACTCAAGAAGAAATTGTGGATGAATGTCATGATGGAAGAACTTAAGGCAATTGAAGAAAACAAGACCTGAGAATTGACCGCACTACCAAAGGACAAGAAAACTATCATTATGAGATAAGTTTTCAAGATAAAGCTCAAGTCAAATAGATCAATTTCCAAGAATAAAGCAAGGTTAATAGCTAGAGGGTTTCTCTAAAGATCTAGTTTAGACTACTTTGAAGAGTTTGCACCTGTAGCTAGACATGAAATAGTAAGATTGGTGATTGTTATAGCTGCAAATAGGAATTGACATCTGCTACATTTAGATGTAAAATTAGCTTTTATAAATGGTTCATTGCAAGAAGAACTTTATGAATTACAACCTCTTGAATTTGTAATGAATAATAAAGAAGGGATGGTGTACAAGCTACATAAAGCCTTGTCTGGATTTAAAGGGCTTGGAATCTAGAAACTGATTCGGTTTTCAAGTATCAGAGATTCAAAATATGTGAAACGGAGTACGGTGTATATGTGCAACATACCTCTAATAGCAATGTGATTTTGGTGTGTCTTTATGTAGATGATGTATTGTAAACAAGAAGTTGTATTACGGGGATAATCAAGTTCAAAAGGGTGTTAATGAATGCACTTGATATGATTGATCTTGGAAACATGTTATATTTTCTAAGGATGGAGATTTTACACTCTGATAAGGAAATTATTGTACACCAACTGGAGTATGAGTTTGAGTTGTTGAAGAGATTTGAGCTGATGAATTATAAGTTTACTGGACTGTTCCTTCTTAATTGCCATTGGTGTATCAAATCACAAAGTTATTTTAGATTCAAAGAGAAACACGTTATAGTAAGGGCTTTCTCTATTCAACTATAAACTAACATTTATTTAAGAATTAGTTAGATATTATATACACATTATAATGTTTAGAGATTTTAAGTAATTGAAAACCTAAATTTAAAATAATATGTGAAATTATACGCGGAACAAATTCCCTATATAAGTAATGATTCATGATGAAATTTGGTAATATTTGGTTGGTTTAGATAAATGAAATTTCTTTAGTTTATACTGGTCATGTATATATGGGTATGTATATTGGTTGTTGTTTTATAAAAGTATATAATTAGCTGTTGTTTTGGAAATTATTATAACATATAAGTAGCTTGTTTTTTTATAAGCAAATTGAATTGATAATGAGTATAAGGAATATTCAAATCCTTTACAACACCAACAAATGAGAACCATAATAATCAGAACAAAATATAAAAAACTTCATAAAAACTACATCAATATCTCATAGGCAATCTAAAGGTGCCACATACATATCATAGAAATTAATACTACAAGCTGATTTTCTACCTATGATACTCTACAACCAAACTTTAACTTTAATAGACAAAATAATATCATCCAGGTTTACAGCTTCTCCTTTGAAAATTAAATTGTTTCTAGCTAGCCACAAGCTCCTACAGGTTGCCAACCACACCATGTCTTCCTTATTGATACTGACTTTCCCGTTCAACTGCTTACAATGAGATAAGAATATGTCTCTCCACCAAATTGAGTGTCTATTTCGAGCTATACTGCCATATCCAAGACTCACCTGCATTCCTAGGTTGCCATATCTATGATTCAGAAAACCTGTCTAAATTGCATCATCCTTCGCAAGAATTCTCCAATTCCATTTGTTTAACGAAGCCTTGTTTAATAACCCTATGTCTTTTAATCCCAGGCCTTCCAAATTTTTTGGTCTACACATATTTTCCCAACTCATCCAATGGACTTTCTTTTTTAATTCAGTCCCCCCAAATGAATCTCTGTTGGATACTCCTCAATTCCTCCCACACATGAACAAGAGCTTTAAAAAAGATAAATGATAAATGGAAAGATTATTCAAAACAGATTTCAACTAAGTTATCCTTCCTCCTAAGGATAGATGTCTCCCTTTCCACTTATTCATCCTCTTTTTCATCTTATCTATTAAAGGTTTCCACAAAGCTATCCTTCTTGGGCTTGAACCAACTGAAATTCCTAGAAACTTAAATGGGAATTATCCTGTGCAACAGTTTAAGAAGGTTGATGATGTTTGCATAAATTGAACCCTCAAGTTAATTCCGTATAAAAAACTTTTGTAGAAGTTGACCCCAAACCTGAAATTAGTTTAAAACCACGCAAAATAGCTTTAATACTCCACAGATTTGACCAAGATCCATCACACACTAGAATAGTGTCATATGCAAATTAAAGAATGTCATACTTGACGACTTCACTAACTATAAATCCTTGAAATGAACCTTGCTCCACGACTTTCTTAACTAATCTTGTCAGGC